TTCAAACACTTTAACTAATTATAAACTAATAAATTTAATCAAATTAAACAAATTTACAATAGATTTATGTGACGTATGTTACCATAACAAATGGACCTGCCATAGCCAAAAAAACAAAATGCTTGTACTGTAACTCAATCAGAAAAGCAATATGAGAAAACCCCACCATTCAAAGCACTTAATACATCCACACTTTGATATGGAAAAATGACATGAAATTAAAGAATGATATGATTTGTGTCCTCTGTTTCAGCCTTTCATAAAAGTGCATGCAGTCACGTTCATCATTGCTTAATTGAATACCTCTTCGAGATAAGTTTCACCTGGTGGCCAGCTGCCAGCTTGTTAATTCTTCTCCTCATGATACAATGTTTATATCAATCATATTTTAGATGAAACCATAAAAGCTCCCCGTAATTAAGAGCTTGGATGAATCCATATAAGAAATATAATGAAACTTGGATGACTACTGTCTGGTTCTCAGATATATGGGCAATCTGGAACGGAAGAAATCAGGAAATCTTCCAAGAAACCATTTTAATTTCTTGGCCAAAATAAGAAGAAGCCGTTGTTGTCTCAAATTTGATCTTACCATAAGAAAACCTGTTTCTTTTTTTTTTTTCATTTTTTTCTTTTGAGTTTTGATTTGATTATCAAAATTTGGGCTTAATGAAATCATGGAATTTGAAACAAAATGTCAGTAGATGAATTGGAAGTAAAAAAACTATAGATACAAATAATTCCAAAAGTTATGTCTATTACTTTTAAAAGTAAAATCCCATTTAATACTTGTTGACTAGGTGGTGCCCATAAATCAAAATTTATTAATTAAAAAAAAATAACAATAAATTGGACTAAATTTGCATTTTTGACAATATTCAAATTTGGTACCTCGACTTAAAGATACCAAGCCCTTAATTATTGAGCTTCACTGTCAGTTTTTTTTTTTTTTTTTTTTTTTTCATATTCTCTATATTCTAAAATGCTAGACATTTTTTTATTCTATGTTTAAATTTAGAATTTGGGAAACAATTTATGTTCTTGTATTATCCTTTAAAAAATGATAAAGATGAGAGAAGCTTTTTACGACATGATGAATAATCAAAGCCAAAGATAATGATAAAATCAAAATATAAAAAATATGTGTCTCTTTTAAAATAGAAAGAAGTGAAATTTAAAATGTCATAATATTTGAAATGTTAGGGCTCTTTATGAAATCATGTAAATATTCTTAATGAATTTCTCTTGCATATTGGTTTATTAAAAGTATTTAAATAATTTTATAAGGAGTCTTACATTTCAATTATTAGAAAATCTTAATTTTTTCATAATCCCTTTAAAATATAAGAAAAACTATTAATTTGAATAAATTTTTTAAAATTTTTTTGAACTGTAGTTAAATGAATAATTTTTTTTTTATTATTCTAAGTTAATGGGAGAAAGTCAATTTATAAACCAAATAAATTGGTTGATTTTATTGGCATTATTTTGACATCCATTTGGGCTATGGCCCAAAAGATATTTACATCGTTTGTGGTTTTTAGACATGGACCGAAGGATAGTGGACTACACTGTATTAGCCTGAATAGATTAATCTCTTCAATCGAATCACACCTCAAAGCCCAGGAACATAGGCATCAAAGCTCTAAAGCTAAGGGTTTTTTTTTTTATTATTTTTTGACAAGGCAACGATTATGAATTAGAAATTAAAAGTTAGTATCTTACTTTTTTGAAAGGTTCGATCATTGGTTAAGAGTGCAATTCATCGACAATCTTGTTGGGTTGTAGCGGCCACTAATAAGCCACAATAGAAAAATGCTAAAGCTAAGTTGTCAATACGATTTATATATATTGATTTTATTATTGAAACGATATATATTAAATATCAACATTTTTTATATACTATTTTAAATTTGTTATCATAAATATATATTTTTATAAAAAAATAAATATTTCATAACAAATGAAATATTAATTAAATTTTAATATATCTAATTTTTAATTTAAAGTATTTAAATTTACTTATTTATTTTAAAATACTTTATAATATATTTTTTTATATTTTATTTTTATTTTTAAAAAATAATTATAATATATATTAAATAAAAAAATTTATTAAAATAATTATTAATTACAAATAAATATGGCATCTTATCAATTAATTAATCTACGCCTTTTCGCACCCAACCAATGAACACCCATCACGTCCCACCACACAACATGGGAATTGGTTCCGCCTCTCCCCAAATAGAAACCCCCTTCTCCAGAGTCCAGATTCTTCCTTTCTGCAATTCGACAGGATATTTCCTTCCTTGAATGATTTTCTTTCTTCCTTTGCATTTAGCCATTTACACAACACAACCCTCCAAGTCTAAAAGCCTCTATCTCAGCTTGGTAACGGGTTAGTTTGAATCTTAAAGAACAGAGTCAGGGTCATTGAAGATGGGTGGATACAGTGATCCAACCAGAAGATAGACTTGTGTCTTCAAGGTTGTGCTAATAGGTGACTCGGCCATGGGGAAATCGTAGATTCTGGCTTGCTTCGCCTCGAACGAGTTCAATTTGGACTCAAAGGCCACGATTGGAGTCGAGTTCCAGACTCGGACTCTAGTTATCAAGCACAAGAGCATCAAGGCTCAGATCTGAGATACTACGGGCCAAAAAAGTTATTTACTACACTTCACCTAGTAATTTTGTCGATGATCTTCTTTGTTGTCGTTGTCAAGCTTTTGATCGGTATATGTGTGTGTATGTGAGTGTTTCCTTTTTTTTTTTTTTTTTTTAATCTGCCGATTGGTGCCGATTTGCCTTTTCGTTTTTATTTTTATTTGAACAGTATCAGTTTAATTTCGGTGTACCGTCGATACGCAAAATATCGGACCCGAAAAACCGAAATTGGACTGAAACGGATTTTAATTTTATACAGTTTCGGTTTAATTGAAAAATTGTTACATACCGACCAATACCGTTTGGTATTGACAACTTTGATATTTTTAGCTTTTATTTTGTTTATATAATTATTAATAAGTAAACCTTTTTTTCTTACACTTTTTATAAGAAAAAATTTCACCTAACTTTTCTGATTCTTATCAAAATTTAATTACAAAATTTATGAATTTTTCATATTGATGCGTTAAAATCATCCTCGTTTTAAGTAATATAATGTTTTAAATAATATAATAATAAAAAGACCGTTGAGCCTATAAAAATTGTGTTTAACTAAATATAAAAAATAATTATTTTAAATACATCTGGATAATTACAAAGAAAGAAATTTTAATTAAAAATAATAAAAAAACAATTAAAATGAAATTAATTAAGATATGTATCCATTTTATTATAATTAATTAATATAAATTTTAAATTTATATATTTTTAAAATTAATTTTTTAATGTTATTGTATGTAATGTCTAAATTAATTAATTAGTTTTTTTAAGTTAAGTTAATCATTCATTTATTTATTAAATTAATTATATCTTTATATAATTTTAAACAAACTAATAAGTGTTGAATTTTATAAAATCTTCTCACTTAAGAAGAAGGAGTTCTTAACTCTCTTCTCTTTCTTCACTACTACATTGTCTCATAATTTAATACACAATTTATATTATTATTAATTTAATTTACGTAATTTTTTTTTAAATTCATACATAAATTACTAAGTCAATTAAAAAGTGATGAAACTTTCAATGTATTAAGTTAAATAATATAAACCCATCATATAAATAACTTTAATTGAAAGTATGAAATCCAAAATTTATATTAAATTAATTATGTTATATCATAATTTTAATAAAATAAATTAGTTTATAATAAAAATAATAAAAGTTAAAATTCAAAATTTATATTAAATTAATTATGTTATATCATAATTTTAATAAAATAAATTAATTTATAATAAAAATAATAAAAGTTAAAATTATAGTTATGAATATTTGAATATCAAATAATAGATAACAAAAATTTTAAAAAAAATAAAATTCAATTTGATAAAATTAAACTCTTGATCTCTCAAAAAAATCCAAAAAAAAAATTGTCACCGGCCTCCAAAACTCACTCAATTTTGAATTTAAATAAATATTTATAAAGTTTTAGAAACCTTATTGGAATGAAACCTTATTGGAATGGAATAGAAGTGAAAACCACGCCATGATGATAAATTAGACATGGATTTCTAAAATTTGAGTAAGGTCAACACCTTCAACTAGGTGCTGACACCTTCTGTTAAGCACAGACTGCAATCCCGTGTCGGGTTTTTGGCCTTCCCAGCAATTTCTGTTAATGGTAAAATGACAGTTCTGGTCCCTAACTTTTAGATCCTGCACAAGTTAATTCTCATATTTCTGATCTCTGCAATTTACTCTTAAGAATTAAGATTTCTTCCAATTAAGTTCTTTCCTAAAAAAAATAAAAATTATGCAAAATCAAATAAAATTTTATAAAATTTATCCAAATATCAATAATATCAAAGTAAAAATTTCACATTAATATATATAAATTCATTTATCATATACAATACTTTTTATCTTTTTGTATAATATTTTTTAATCACATTTTTAATAAAAATTTTCCTAATAAAATTAATCTATGACCAAACAGTCCCTACACCTTTTCCCCTTCTCTCTTCTAACCGTCAAACTCCAATCAGACCTACTCATGCTGGACAGTTGGTAAGTCAGAAAGCAAATCCCCAAAATTTCCCTTAAAATTATTTTTCTGTCGAGGGAGCTGATCTAACGCTGTTTTTCTTTTTCTTCTGGCTGATGATTGATGGTTATGTTGTTTCATAATTATGAATTTCTTATCTTGTTCTTTCGAGTGTTCCTTCGTCAAACTTTGATTTCTCCTTTTTATTATGCCTTTCTTCATCATCTTAGCATTATGACTGATTTCTTTAATCTATCATAATTGCTCAGAGGAGAGAAACGAAGATAGCAAGTTACCAGTTTTAGAGTCAAAACACCTCCAATTTCTTTGTGACGTTGCAGATTAGATGGATAACTTCTCCAAGTGGGTGTCAATAGGCAAGTGCACCTAACAGAGCTCAAATAACTTTTATCAAAAAAACGAAAAAAAATAAGAGCCAAATTCTTTTACCTGTTTATATATTTTTTAATATATCATATGAATTATATGACTTAAATAATTCTTTCCTCTTTTTAATTTCTCTTCATTTATCTCAAAATTTAAACTTAAAATTTATATATAATTTAGATTCTAATCTCAAACACTTAATCACTAGATATACACCTAAAAAGCCATTTAAATTGTTCTCTAGTCCAAGTTAGTAACCACCGTCAATAAGTCTTAATTTTTTTTTATTAACAAAAAATGTAGTAAAATTTTTTTATTAACCAAAAAAATGTAGTCAAATAAAAAATTTTGCCCACTTCAATTAATCTTTGGGTAAACTACACTGTGGTCACTTGCTTTTATCATAACTTCAATTTAGTCATTTCCTTTCAAATTTGTAAATTTCATCACCTAATTTTCATATAAGTTGCTACCTTTAATCACTCACCATTAGTTAACAAGTTTTGTTAATTTTAACTGGTGACAAGTCCCGGGGAAGTAGAAATAATTACATGATGCTTACATGGATTATAGTAATAACAGTGAGTTAACAATGAGTGAC